CCCCCAAAATTGAAGGCAAAAATTATCTTCAATTTTATAATGAAGACAGTGAAAGAGGATGTCAATTAACACTGACTTCTGCAAGGATTTTCAGGAAATTATCAAAATAGTTCATTACGAGTGATACCCCACCCCTTAATGCAAAGCAAGACCCTGACACAGGTGGATTCTTTAAAGTATAAACTTGTGAAATATTGCTCCTCCCGAGGTCAAGGTCTGGACATGCGATCGATTAACCATCCATCTTTTTCTGAATAATAATTGAATACCAATGCCACTCCTTGTTTACTGTACAAATCACATTACTGAGTAAAGGCGCAGCAAGTTAATTTGGGCTAAGTCATAATTATACTAAAGATATTAACTGCCTGTTGCTACGATAAATAAGTGAGCTACATTTTATTTGTAATGCTGTGTTACAAAATAGATAAACTTATGCATCAAATGAAAAATGGAAAATTGGACCCATCTTTACATAGTCAGTCCAAGACGATGTCATCTATTCACAGATCTCACATACATGTCGATCTCTATGTATGTATTAGATGTCTCAATTTTAAAACAGAGAATTGGATGTAATAAATTAATTATTTGCAAGAAAAGACAAGACTCTTTGAAGCAGAAGTGAGATTTTCAGAAGAAGAAATGAAGAAGAAAGAAAGAAGAGGACGAAAATAAAGAAGAAGATGAGGAAATAGACGAATAAGAAGAAGAAAAGATAGAAGTAGAAGAAGAAGAAGAAAAAGAAGAAAGAAAAAGAAGTAGGAGGAAAAGGAGAAGAAGAAGAAGTAAGAACAACACTAAAAGCAAGTAGCAGCAACAGCAGCCGCATGTATTAGCAGTATAGTTTTAGTAATAATGCTGATGCAGATAATGCTGATAATGATTAAGATGATAATGATAATAATAATAACAATGATAATAATGATAATGATGATGATGATGATGATAAGGGTAATGATGATGGTGATGATGATTGGCTTTATTTTTACTTTAAGTCTTGAGGCTTACCTTAAGGATTTAGGTAAAACTGAGACCTATCGCCTGTAATGTAAACTGTACTTTTTAACGATTTGCATTTCCCCTATCCAACTAATATATTATAATTGAGCACACAAAAATTATACATAAAATATTATATCGCCACTTCTTTACCCATTAAGTTGCCTCATTCAATATTATTTAAACTGTACAATATATTAAATCATTTCATACCAAAAATTGTGATATTGTAATCATGAAACAATGGACAAAAACGCAATCAGCTGTTTATAATTGCTTTATTTTTTCCCAGAAAAGAAAAACAAGTAGTATTCAACAAATACAATTGAAAAGGCATAATTATGTGGAATATCAATACAAAGACAATACATTATTACGTAGTAATAACATCAATGATATCATTCCGTTTTATATGGCGCATATCACATTACAATATTCCGTTTATATGCGCTTCCAAGTTCTAAGAAAATTACCTTGTAAAAGTATCCCGGCATTAGCTACGGCAACCGTTTTAGGCTCATACTTATGTGTTCGAATGAAAGAATTTTACAAGGTAATACCCATTTATCAAGTATCAAGTAACAAGTATCAAGTTTATTTGTCTTCCAGAAAAACACGTGTGACAAAATATAATAGAGTATAATCATAACAGTACAATGTAGAATAAAGAAAGACGAGGAGACCTTGGTTGAAGCACAGCTTGTTAATATGTTAAGGCCCCCTCATATGATGTGACAAAGATAACTGATTCATGAATACAACAACAAATATGGAATATATAAAACTATTTACAAAATACTCTCAGAGAACAACTACCCACTTGCCATTGGTGTAGAGTGGCAAATGTAGATTTTATGTCCTGCCAAAGAGGACACAATGGAGGATACTCAAGTTCAACCACTTACAAGAATCATGGTTTTCTAGAGAGAGAGATGGCGCGCAATTTTCCGACGGCTCATTTTTCTGAAGGTTCGTAATTCCTAAGCTTCATAATTGGGAAATTAAACAAGGTTTATAATTCTGAAAATGAAATATACAGGGTTCATGATTCCAAAGATTACATATGGTTCTATACTTCTATCACCTTTCCAGAATCGTGTGCCCTCTTTCATTTTTCGGAATTACGAAACTTTGGAACAACGAACCTTAGGAAAAACGAACCTTCGGAATGAATTTGAGGAATAACGCGCATTCTGAAATATGAACCTTCGTTAAAAAATTAAAAAAACGACATATAATCGTTTTCCTTATACATGAACCATGTTCATAGTATCAAGTATCAAGTATCAAGTTTGTTTGTCTTTCAGAAAAACACATGTGAAAAAATATAATAGAGTATAATCATAACAGTACAAAGTAGAATAAAGAAAGACGAGGAGACCTTGGTTGAAGCACAGCTTGTTATAAGTTAAGGCCCCCTCACAGTAGCGTACGCAGGATTTTTTCAAGGGGGGGGGGTTAACATTTTTAAATCGGGCCGAAAATTTCGCAACGACTTAGCCAGCCGCTGAATAAGCGGGGGGGGGGGGGGGGTAAGAGGACACTTTTTTGTTTATGGTCTCGAAATTTGAAAAATTGACATTTTGTTCCGTTTAGGGGGGGGGGAGGGTCACCTTTTTTAGGTCAGCCATTGGCATAATTTTTTTTTTTTTTTTTTTAATTTAAAAAACAAAATCACAAAGGGGGGGGGGGGGTGTGTTCCAAAATACACACATACAAAAACCGAAGGAGGGGTTCAACCCACAACCCCCCCCCCTCCCCCCTGCGTACGCGCCTGCCCCTTCATGTGATGATATGACAAAGATAACTGATTCATGAATACAACAACAAATATGGAATATATAAAACTATTTACAAAATACTCTCAGAGAACAACTACCCAACGATGCATCGACCACAGCATGGATGACTACAACAAGTATACCCGAAGATGCGCACATCCCCATCACACCGGGTGAGCTAACAAACTCACCGTGTGTTTAAAAATATGTATCATATGAGCAAAAATAAACCCACCCATGCGAGGGCGATCCAATATGGACAAACCCAAGCTGACACCAAATCGAGACATTAATGAGTTATTGCTCTCTGAGTGCAGAGGTCAAGTAGGAATATATGAGAAGAAGAAAAAAAGAAAAGGATCAAGGGGATTATGTCAAAGTCAAGAAATAACGAAAAATAAATCGAGAGTAGAATTAAATATGGTACAGTACACCAAAAATAAAGTTTAATAACACATTTATGTGTCATCGACATACTTGTGAATATGAGCCTTCGTTAAAAAAAAAAAAATGTAATCGTTTTCCTTATACATGTACCATGTTCATAGTAACGTCGATAGAGGCAAGTATTGATCAAATGCCTATTCAGAGGGTACATTGTACGCATCCGGCAAAGATTCGAACCCTCAACCTCCCGATTCAAAGTTAAGGACTTGAACCATGAACCATACACATTAAAATTGTTAAAGGAGAGAGTGTACATTCGCCACACTCTTATTTCAGATTACTCACTATAAATATGTTATAAAAATCAAATTTCACCTGACTTTAACATAAAAACAAAACAACGAGTGCAGCACGAATGTATTAGACTACATAAAATAATATTATTTTTATATATGTTATAATTATTTCTCTATCACCACAAATATGAAACATTTAAAGTATAATTTCTATATAAGAGAATACAAACAAACAAAAAAGAAAGGGGAATTTGACGTGTTTGGAAACCAGCAGAGCTACAAAAACAAACCTGTACACGGGCGTTTAGTAGGCCCCGAATATATCATTATTTCATCTGATTTATTTCATCTATAAAAATGCACATATACCTTGTAAGGGATATGTAAAAAAAAAAAAAAAAAAAACATTTGGACTTTGATAGAAAATGTTGGTATTATCTCGTATGTTTTCTATTAAATTCCAGATGTTTTGACATATTGACGGATTGTTGAGAGGATCAAACCCCATTACCGTAATAGAAAAAGCAATATGTTGTACTAATGTCAGTATTGAAGGGGAAAACAAACCTGACCAAGTTTCATCATTGTAGCTCATGTGAATTGGGTAAACTAGTTTGATATGTTCTATTCATTGTCTATTATAACAAACAGCGTGAAAAAAAATTATCATTCAAGTTATGGTTCAGTATTTTGAGCCAATTAGAGATCTGCCACATTGTCACGTGGTAAATAAAGAGGTTTAATATACACATGTATCCCGTTTCCCGTATTCAATATCTTTTTCATGACTTTGAAGAACAAATCTCTCCAATGAAGTAGATGCAAGGGGCACGATGTATACAACACAAAACGAAAGGGAAAGGAAAAGTGAAAAGAAGTAAATAAAGTCTCCTGCCTCGTTCCCCCTCGTAGGTAGCCTCGACAATTTATACTTCATCCATCTAATAAAATTACTCCAAATCCCAGTAATGCCAGAGGCCCCCGCTACACCACTGCCTAACTGAATTATTATATTCTTGTCTAGCTATCTCTTCGTGGTGCTATGTCTTGAGGGTATCGAGTCCATTTGTTTTGTCCTAACCTGAACGTTGGAGAAGAGAACAAGGTCACAATAAAGATATGTACAAAATATAAAACGGTGCTTTCCACGACTTGAAAATGAGTTAAGTGATTTAGTCATCCTTGCACAGTCAACGTGAGAAAAATGAGACTTTGTGTGACATTTCTGTACAAAACGATGAAAGTGTAACTCGGAAAACAGAACTTTGTTCAAAATCAAGACTGAAACATTTTTGCGCAGACCAATTTTCACGAGCTTTTCGAAATTAGCCAGTGCTCACTCAAGCATAAAATGTTATCAATATTTTTAGTGCTATCCGTTTGAAAAGACCCTCACCCATAAGTAAGCAAACACATCGCACACAAAATCGTATAGTGCTCTTGCCAAAAAATGTTGGTCTTAATTTTGAAATAGGTACTTCTGCAAATTATTTATATATATAAACATATATTTATATTCAGGTAAAAATTATGAGAGCTCGGTTAGCAGAGATGTTGTGTTGTACTTGGTGTTTCCGGACTGTGAACCATAACGTACGGGCTTCGAATGCCTATTGCTGGACAAATGTACTTAAGCAAGACATTTATCTACATTCGACCAAGGTCACTGTGTAGGAAGGGGATACCTGGTAGGATTTATTCCTTGAATGCACCGAGCGCCTATATTTTCCGGAGCTAAAGAAGGGGTAAAACTATCCAAAGAGTATCCCTTAAGAGCGCATAGAGAGGTTCTATCATTATGTGATACACGATTTACAAGAAAGGAAAACTAATATTGTAAGTATGAGGGTGGAGACATACCTGTTTGACAGTAATCTCCTTTGAAGCCTTCGGGACAGAAGCACTGGAAACCTCCATGGATGTCTGAACATGTGCCTCCATTCTGACAAGGGTTACTCAGGCACTCGTTGATATCTGGAAAGGAGCATTGTTCAATTAGTGAAAGTATTGAAAATATTGATATTCTTTCACCTCAAGATGGCTATAATAATGAACCTCCGGAATTGTGTGCCCTCTTTCATTTTTCTGAATTACGAAACTTTGGAGCAACGAACCTTGGGGAAAAACGAACCTTCGGAATGAATTTGAGGAATAACGAGCATTCTGAAATATGAACCTTCGTTAAAAAATATTTAAAAAACGACATGTAATCGTTTTTCTTATACATATACCATGTTCATAGTATCAAGCATCAAGTATCAAGTTTATTTGTCATCCAGAAAAACACATGTGAAAAAATATAATAGAGTATAATCATAACAGTACAAAGTATAATAAAGAAAGACGAGGAGACCTTGGTTGAAGCACAGCTTGATATAAGTTAAGGCCCCCTCATGTGATGTGACAAAGATAACTGATTCATGAATACAACAACAAATATGGAATATATAAAGCTATTTACAAAATACTCTCAGAGAACAACTACTCAACGATGCATCGACCACAGCATGGATGACTACAACAAGTACACCCGAAGATGCGCACATCCCCATCACACCGGGTGAGCTAACAAACTCAACGTATGTGTGAAAATATGTATCATATGAGCAAAAATCAACCCGCCCATGGGAGGGTGATCTAATATGGACAAACCCAAGCTGACACCAAATCGAGACATCAATGAGTTATTGCTCTCTGAGTGCAGATGTCAAGTAGGAATATATGGTATATGTACAGATGGGAAAGAAAAAGAAAAAAAGAAAAGGGATCAAGGGGATTATATCAAAGAAATAACGAAAAATAGATCGAGAGTAGAGTTAAATATGCCCCCAGTACACAAAAAATAAAGCTTGTACACACAAAATAAAGCTCGATAACACATTCATGTGACATCGACATACTTGTGAATATGAGCCTTCGTTAAAAAAATAAAAAAAAACGACATGTAATCGTTTTCCTTATACATGTGCCATGTTCATAGTAACGTCGAGAGAGGCAAGTATTGATCAAATGCCTAGTCAAATGCCAGTGTACGCATCCGGCAAAGATTCGAACCCTCAACCTCCCGATTCAAAGTCAAGGACATGAACCATGAACCATACACATTAAAATTGTTAAAGGAGAAAGTGTAAATTCACCACACTCTAATTTCAGATTACTCTCTTTAAATAAGTTATACAAATCTAATTTTCCCAGTAGTGATAAACATCACCTGGCTTTAACATAAAAACAAAACAACGAGTGCAGCCTGAATGTGTTAGACTACATATAGAAATATTATTTGTTATATATGTTATAATTATTTCTCTATCACCACAAATATGAAACATTTAATATATAATTTCTATATAAGAGAATACAAACAAACAAAAAGAACAGGGGAATTTGACGTGTTTGGAAACCAGCAGACCTACAACAAAAAACAGTTCGTGGGCGTTTAGTAGGCCCCGGAATACATCATTATTTCATCTGATTTATTTCATCTATACAAATGCACATATACCTTGTAAGGGATATGTAAAAAAACAAAAACATTTGGACTTTGATAGACAAATTTCGGTATTATCTCGTATATTTTCTATTCAATTCCAGATGTTTTGACATATTGACGTATTGTTGAGAGGACCAAACCCCATTACCGTAATAGAAAAAGCAATATGTTGTAATAATGTCAGTATTGAAGGGGAAAACAAACCTGACCAAGTTTCATCATGTAGCTCATGTGAATTGGGTAAACTAGTTTGATATGTTCTATTCAATGTCTATTATAACAAACAGCGTGAACAAAATATTATCATTCAAGTTATGGTTCAGTATTTTGAGCCAATTAGAGATCTGCCACATTTTCATGTGGTAAATAGAAAGGTTTAATATACACATGTATCCCGTTTCCCGTATTCAATATCTTTTTCATGACTTTGAAGAACAAATCTCTCCAATGAAGTAGATGCAAGGGGCACGATGTATACAACATAAAACGAAAGGGAAAGGAAAAGTGAAAAGAAGTAAATAAAGTCTCCTGCCTCGTTCCCCCTCGTAGGTAGCCTCGACAATTTATACTTCATCCATCTAATAAAATTACTCCAAATCCCAGTAATGCCAGAGGCCCCCGCTACACCACTGCCTAACTGAATTATTATATTCTTGTCTAGCTATCTCTTCGTGGTGCTATGTCTTGAGGGTATTGAGTCCATTTGTTTTGTCCTAACCTGAACGTTGGAGAAGAGAACAAGGTCACAATAAAGATATGTACAAAATATAAAACGGTGCTTTCCACGACTTGAAAATGAGTTATTAACTCATTTTCAAGTCGTGGAAAGCACCGTTTTATATTTGTAATCACTTAATAAGTGATTTAGTCATCCTTGCACAGTCAACGTGAGAAAAATGAGACTTTGTGTGACATTTCTGTACAAAACGATGAAAGTGTAACTCGGAAAACAGAACTATGTTCAAAATCAAGACTGAAACATTTTTGCGCAGACCAATTTTCACGAGCTTTTCGAAATTAGCCAGTGCTCACTCAAGCATTAAATGTTATCAATATTTTTAGTGCTATCCGTTTGAAAAGACCCTCACCCATAAGTAAGCAAACACATCGCACACAAAATCGTATAGTGCTCTTGCCAAAAAATGTTGGTCTTAATTTTGAAATAGGTACTTCTGCAAATTATTTATATATATAAACATATATTTATATTCAGGTAAAAATTATGAGAGCTCGGTTAGCAGAGATGTTGTGTTGTACTTGGTGTTTCCGGACTGTGAACCATAACGTACGGGCTTCGAATGCCTATTGCTGGACAAATGTACTTAAGCAAGACATTTATCTACATTCGACCAAGGTCACTGTGTAGGAAGTGGATACCTGGTAGGATTTATTCCTTGAATGCACCGAGCGCCTATATTTTCCGGAGCTAAAGAAGGGGTAAAACTATCCAAAGAGTATCCCTTAAGAGCGCATAGAGAGGTTCTATCATTATGTGATACACGATTTACAAGAAAGGAAAACTAATATTGTAAGTATGAGGGTGGAGACATACCTGTTTGACAGTAATCTCCTTTGAAGCCTTCGGGACAGAAGCACTGGAAACCTCCATGGATGTCTGAACATGTGCCTCCATTCTGACAAGGGTTACTCAGGCACTCGTTGATATCTGGAAAGGAGCATTGTTCAATTAGTGAAAGTATTGAAAATATTGATATTCTTTCACCTCAAGATGGCTATAATATTGTCATTAGTTTTTGGTGATTTGGTGGAGAAAAGCCACAAATTTGCAAAATACCTCGTGGATTTCATAACTTTCATGAAGTGATAAAGATCAATTATGTTTTAGTTGTTTATCTTATTTGTTAATCAATTAACTGTCGTGCTTTTTTCGTCAGAAAACTTCCTTTTTAAAACTATTTCAACGTATTTCGAGGTTAAAAGAGTTTTCCATGTTCGTTTTTATAGATTAATGATTAAGTTTATTAATGTTTTAAAGTTAGAAAAAGATACATATCTCACCTTCAGTCCTTTCTGCTGTTAGATTCACCAAGAATCCACTTTCCATAAGCGAACCGACCGCTCTTCGTTTCCTTCTACTGGAGTCCCCAGTATCCGACACAAATCTAAACCACAATTCTCGAGTGGGGGAGGTAATATCTTCAGGCAATTCACTTCCAGTCAACTCCACTAGGATTGTGGTCATTAAAGGACTCGAGCCGTAGCCCACGGTAAGCGAAGAACCGTCGGTGAGGTTAAAGAAGTCAAAACGCGCCCTCACGCTGTGATCCCGAGGAGCCATTACCCGCCAAATCTCGTGCACGCTGTCGCTTGCATCAAGAGGGAAGTCTGGTGAGCGGAGCTGTTGGACCGTAGACTCGTTCACCAAGATTAGAGGATTGTCATCTGTTACAACAAAAACATTATAACACTAAATGAGGCTGAAATACTGGCATGTTTTTTTTCTACAAAAAAAGACATACGAAAATATATTAAGAAATTGTATGTTTGTTGTGAAATAATTTTAAATCATCTGATCATTCTGAAGATTCCTAAATCCCTAGAATTTCACCATGGTACAAAGACGAATCTTATTACCTCTCGGATCCACAGCGTTCAGTGTTGCCATGAATCCAACGTCAATAATTCCGAAATTACTGGTGAATTTGAGCCACATATGGCGGCCATGTGACGTCACAGTTGACCTTAACCCATAGCCCGTGAGCCTCGCAAGCTCTGTGTAACTCAGTGGCGTCAGTCCATCGCCCACAAACAAGATGTCGAAGTTCAATTGGGTAGCGAAGTCGACGATGTCCAGCCTGACGCTGTGGTTGACAGGGGCTGATACCTTCCAGACGATGTTATCGCCGATGTTGTAGTCGGAAGGGTAATTTGGAGAAGTGATGTTCACTGGGACGGCACGCTCAAGGGTGATTTCAGTAACACCCGGTGTTATTGCTGAAAGAAATATAAATGTAACCAGAATACTTACGATTTTTGTTTGTTTAATCCAATGAATAACGCCAAAACATATTTTTGAGACCACAATTTCAAGACGGAAAATTTAACCTTGAAGTTTGACTACTGTGAACTTATAATCGGAAGAATTCGGACTCCTATCGAAGGGCAGGTTGATGTGCTGGCCAGAGGGCCACTTCACTACACAGATGCTGCTCCCAAACTGTGGAATAACCTACCGATCTCTTCGTAACCACCAATCTGTCAATACCTTCAAAAATTTTCTCAATCTCAGTTAACAATATAACTGTAAAGCGCATTTGAACATGTATATGGAAAATGCGCTATATAGATACATTATTATTATTATTATGATCATTATACACGGTCAAAGGGGCCAGTTGATCAAATACAATGATGGGAACCAGAAGGCTTCAGAAAGCTATGATTTGCCAGTCGCAAATACATTCATTGGTTTAACCTTTAGCCGAAGTCCTCTCCATAAAATTCCAAAATATTTCGAAGAATCAACTCCTCATCAATTTCAATGGCATGTAGAAAATCATTGTATTTTGTAATACGCCATTGTAATGCAAGCACATTTCAGTAGGTGGTGAACAAAGGCTTTTAAAATTGCCGTCTATTGTTTTTTATGTTGTTGTTGTTGTTGTTGAAAGTCTTCCGATCATGATTCTCCTGCACAGGTGTACTCACCTCCTGAAACTACAGCTGTAATAAATGACTGGAACTGTGAGATTCGGGTGTAGACGCTGGGCAAGCGTAGTCTTGCGCATCCTCCTTCAAAGCTTCTTGATCCGACCAGATACCATCGACCATCATCACCTTCACAGGTCAAAGGCTCACCGCTGTCTCCCTAATTTTTGTAATAATAAACACGAGATAATAAAATTGAATTGGATGACTTGCAAACTAAACAAATATCCTACATAGGCAGGCACATAGCCACGGGGGGGGGGGGGGGGGCACGGGGGGCACGTGCCCCCCAAAAAATTCCAAGATCGGTTGAACTTTTTTAGACCCCTTTTTTACCTCGATCGATTACATGTATGTGCCCCCCCCCAAAAAAAAAAAAAAAAAAAATCAAAAAAAAAATCAAACTCTGGCTACGGGCCTGCACATAGGACCACACACATGTGTATCTTTCGAAAAAGTACATGTATTCGGAACATGGCAGTTTGATATATATTAAAGGGGTGTGTAAGTCAGTGTGTCCAAATTCTGAAACAAAGACAAAAAGGATATAAAATTGAAAATAACTGAGTAAAACAAAATACCACTGCAGTCAGTGTCACAGTTATGAGGGAAACGGGAGTACAGCCCAAATAATCGGTCTAATGAAAATAAAATATGATGGGAGAGCAGAAAAGCAACTTGGGTTAAAGTAAAAGGTAATGACTCAATCCTATGCCCTTATCTCCTTCCATGCTGTCGTAGTAGAGAGGTTTAACCGCTATACTGGAAATTCGAAGGTCATGGGTTTGACTCCTGGCACGGCACTGATGTCCTTTGACAAGGCATTAATCTACATCTGCCACTCCATACCCAGGATTGAATTTGGACACTGTAGGTGCACGAAGCCTGTGTGATAGTTATTTCGTTATGCCCTAACGGTGACCCTGTGGTAGGAATACTCCCTGTCGTGTGTAGAAAGCCCTTTTGGTTAGATTTAGGCAAGACTGTGACGTCACTACCGATAAATAAGAAGCTAGTATTGATTTGGCCGCTTGGAGGCGCTGTTAGGCGTGCTGCTAATTTCCCTGTTTTGGAAATGTTATGTTAACCGGAGATGCCATTGATATTTGTCTAATTTCGATACAAGCCCAATGATGTGAGTAAACTATGCATGTTATCTTGAATTTAAAGCATTAATGTATCTTTAAGTGACATTTGTGATGCCTTATAAATGAAAGGCCGAGAGTACACGTGTATGTGAAAGTGCACGGGTTTGTGTGCATGTATTATGTAATGTACTTGTCAGTACGTGTAATGCACTTTGATAATGAATCAGGCGTATGTGGGCATTTACGTTTAGGTATTGTTTAGCTATCAAAGTAAATATGAATGATATGAAATTATAAGAGGCATATTATGGAGTTTTGTAGCTCAGTTGGATAATTATAAGTGTGCATGCTCTCTACAAAAGGGAGACAAAATTACTACCATGCAGCACTAGAAACATTGGTGCAGTGCATGATTTGATTTGTTATGTCAAGGTTGTGATTATGAAGGTATAGGCCTGTAGACTTCTACATTAATCACAATCTATTCAGTTCATATAAGATGAAGGAATTTAATGGTTTGTTTAATTGTAACAAGTGTGGAAAGACCCACAGAGTATTATGACAATTTATCTTGGTTTAAGCAAATAACAATAGAAATTAATACAAACAAGTGAACTAGGGTTGCAGTATTGTGTTTCACTGAGGTAGAGTTTATTACATCTAGAAATATATTATTTCATGAATAATGGCGACATATGACTAAACAAATGTTTATATGTTTACATTAAATTGCAGATTGAACCTGCATTGTTTGCACGGTATCTTCATGGTTTGTCAAGTTCTGTCGTCGATGGTGTCGAGGTGTTTTGGAAGTCACACTCCCCAAAGAGTGGAGATGCCGCACATTTTGCGTATGAATGAATCCGGTGTCCGGGATAATAATATTTTTAAAGCGCTTAGACACGGTATTTTGTCTTAAGCACTATCCATGTATAAATCTAGATTTGTCATTATATTCATTTTTAGTAGTAGTAGTAGAAGTGTAAATAGTAGCAGTAGTAGTAGTAGTAGTAGTAGTAGTAGTAGTAGTATTAGTAGTAGTAGAAGTAGTAGTAGTATTCGCTTTAATTCAAACCTCATATTGTGTCCGATACCCGCCCCCATGACACATGTCCCCCCCCCCCCGCACACATGGCTAAACTCAGGCTACGCCATAGATAGCAGTTACCTGACAAGTATCAATTCCACCTGGCGCATATTCAGCACATATATCTTCTTCTGTCAGAGACCCGTTGTAGAAAAGTTCAGAATTGCACCAGTCTTGGTCAAGAAGGTTCACCACTGCTTTTTTCAAGCTTGGCGTCAACGCTGCGAAATATTAAAGTAAATCATCGTTTACATCTTCTGTAAGCAAACGAATTTCAAGTCAAATTATCATCAAACGTTTGAAACCATTTAAAGAGCTATAGAAAGGTATAATGGATTCAGCACTGCTATTTAGCATGATTTTTAATTTTTAAACCATCCAATAAATACATTAATTAATAATAATTAGGTGAATAAGGGTATCAAGTTAGGTGGATGAAATCATATTGGTTATAAGTTTACAGATCTACGTGAAGAAGAACTACTGAAGGGCATGTTCAAAGCTTCCCTGTTTGAAAGAGGCCTTTTGGATATCACATTTCTTTCAATCAGATAACCTAGAGAATTGATTGGCTAAAGGTTTATTCATTATTGTTTGTCTGTTTAGTAGCACTGTTTCATTACAGAGCAGTAGAGTCGCTGCGCTATATACATTAATGTAATTATTATTATTATTATCAAATATAAGTAAAGCAGTACATACGTGGGCCATCCAGTGTAGTTTCCCATCCAGCGACGAGGCAGCGACGATAGTCCTTGAGTTCGTCCGAGGATTCCGACAGACACGCGGGTCTAACGTAGTCACTGAATGTCACTGGTTCAGCAAGTCGTATCAGAGCGATGTCGTTGAAGAGCCAATAAGAGTCGTACTCGGGATGGACGAAAATATCAGCCACCTCAACCGCTACCTCGTTGTCGGAGTCATCCGTCAAGTGTGCGTTCCCAAAAACCACACGATCGACGTAGTAATCACTATAAATGATAGTGGATTTAAATCAGTGATTTTTACTAGGGCGAAATATAATCATGTATATCAAAAGGACATCTCAACGGAGCTGCATTTATTTGAGCATGATATATATTATATATTAACTGTAGTTTCATACATGTACATCATGATTTCATTATATATTACAAACGTTGTATCTGCTATGTCTCACAGGGGAATTAACTAGCTCCTGATACATCAGACGTTATACGGTCATGTAAATGTAAGTCTCTAAATTAAACATAATTCTGTAACAACACTGAAGTGAAATCCCGTCATCTGGTAGTTATAGTCAGAGGGGGTATAGCAACGCTGCCGTCCGTCCTTCCGTAACAAATCTGGTTCCCGATCGATAACTTTAGTAATGTTTGACGGATTTTAATGAAATTTGATATGAAGGTACATGGTATCAAAACACAACCTAAGTTCGATTTCGGAGTATGTAGGTCAAAGTTCATAGCTCATTAAATATGCGAATCGGGTTTCCGTTCGATAACTTTAGTAATGTTTTACGGATTTTAATGAAATTTGATATGAAGGTACATGCATGAAAATACAGCCTAAGTTCGATTTCGGAGTATGTAGGTCAATGTTGAATGGTCATAACTCTATGCGAAAATACATAATTGTTATGCGAAAATGTGGTTAACTTCCTTGCCTAATAATATAATAGTATATTCTAATGGAGGTAACTTGTTCTGACGTATTAGGCCATTATACCCTGCAAGGGGATGCTATGCTTTGGGTTAACTTTTTCTATTTATTTCATACATACATACAATTACTTTTCATATAGCGCAAAGTTCAATAAAATGTTGCTTAATGCCTTTTACATGATATTGTAATTGCCAATGGGTTGATCTGTTCTAAAGAACGGATATATAATTGGGTGTACAGATATTGACTACTAGTGATACTTTATATATATATATCTTCATGACTATGATTATTTAGACGAAAACTCAGTGCATAATTTGTTTAGTTGTAGTACATGCACTCTAGAGGTAAACACGTTCGCTTCTATATAAATTAAACTAAGTAAATATCCGTGGGAAGGTAAGGTGTCAATTTGCTTTCATTTCCACAGAGCAAACGATTTAATAGTGGCATCATACTTACACGCAGTGAGCGGCGGTAAGAACCCATTGAGAGTTGATCAGGGTAGACCCACACCAATGTCCTCCAAAATCCAATCCTTCGATGCGGAGTGAACCAATCCAAGGGAATTCCCCTTGGCGTGCGTTGGTACCACCAAGAACCCTGTATTGGTCTGGTGCGTATGCAGGGCGTGTCCCGCATATGTTGGTATCGAAAATATCTGGGGGAGGGATAAAGTCGCAAGTCAGTGGCACAACGACGGGAAGGGAAGGGACATCCACCCAATTCGAATAGCACCCCTTTGCCTCCCCCAAAGCAAATGAAACAAAACAAAGCATAAATCGAAAATAAAATGAAAAGAGGAGGGAAAAGGATGCCCGAAGAAGATGATAGACCACCTTTGGATACCCTCCAATCCACCTCCTTTTTGGATGCTGATTTTCATTTTTCTCTAAAAACCCACTTGGCAGTAAGATCAGTGCCGCCATCCCCATCTTATAGCTACACGCCACTGTCACATGTGATGAATTCAATAGAACATGCTGACATCTTTTCTTCGGTTTTATGAACTATCATATATAAACACTTAGTGCATCTTCTTAAGTCCAATCATATTCTTAACTCGATATCATCTCCATGAATATGGCTGCATGGTCTTTACCTCCCGCAGGGCCAAAACAGCTCCCATCTTCCTCCTGTTCATCGGTAAACATGGAACAGTTGACGGGCCAAGGAGGGTCGAGGAGTTGCTCAAAGGATGCCTTGCAGGCATCAGTGACTGCCAAACAGTCGGAGTAGCACACCCGATGGGTGGGGCCGTTATGGGTGCATTCCGGATAGTAAACGGAGCACATGAAGGGGATCAGGTGATCATGGCACGATGATATAGTAGCTTCCTATGGTAGGTCATTAGAAAGTATAAACTTTGAGGATTTCACGTCAGGATTGTCAAAGGCAATTGCAACGTAGATGTGTATGGTACATCAACAACGTCAGTGTAGCCAGCAGCTCTTGCAAGTGGTGGGGGTGGACCACACTTGTGCCGACAAATATAACATAAATTATGTATTTTCAGACACACAATAAATATTACATCAAAAAAGATCTTCAACATATTTTCAGTCGTTACGTCTCTGAAATATACATTCTTCTGTGTGATTGCCCTTACTACCATGCATATCCCCTCGAAAAGAATCACTCACACAAAAAACTAAATTATTTAATGCGTATTAACAAATACCAAATTCATTGGTTGATATGCAGGTCAATAATCGTAGTAAGGCAATGTTTTACTGAAGTTAAAACTAATTAATTAATCGTTCCTGGCATTATCTATGAAAATCATCAACAAGCTCGACATAACCCACCATTAATAAAGAATCAACTGAAAAATATTTTTAAAATAAAGCATCGAAAAGACTCTCCGATGCTTACAATTTCTGTAAAGCTTTCTGCCGCAGCGTCCGCTGTCTCTGCGTTCCCATTCGGGAAAAACGTCACACTGTAGGCCAGGTTCTGTCTACATTTATCAAATTGAACTTGTTCGCAGTACGCTGGGTAGGAGAAAATAGATCAAAGAAGGATGAAAAACAGCGATAACATGTCAGAGAAATCATGAACGCAGACAACATATAGACACATTAACAGCAACAACAAAAAGAGACATCAAAATAATTCAACCGCTGAAGGTCATGAAAGGCTTAATGTTTTGGGGGAACTGGTAAACAAAAACTCAGGGAAGAAAAAAACCTATCTCTAAAGTAAAAATCAAGAAGTGTAAAACTCCCTCAATATATAGATATAACATAGAAATTCATAGATAGGTGTACAATTCAATTTAAGGAAATGTAAATGTTATGTAACTACATGTATAACGATAGGAATTAATTGAGAAGCGAATGTAAACGTTAAATCAAAACTTACGACAGTATTCCTCATCTGAGAAATCGAGACAGTCGTTATTTCCGTCACACCTTGCCGATTCGCTGATACACAGTCCACTAGAACATTGCATTTGACCGCTGCTACATTCTGTCATGAAGTATTTAAAGCATCGAATTATAGATAATCTCAATTATAGTAAACAATTTGTTATCGTGTACTTTAACTGATAGATTTTGAATAACAATGTAAGAAGAATGATAGCTACATTTATATTACACACTCATTCATCCCAGAGGAAGCTCAAGGCGCCTACAAAGTAATATTATTACCCTGGCTTTAGCCCAGTTGCCCTTTCTCAAAGGCGTTCAAAGTGTTCAAGGAATACATTTCTACAGGATTGCCATTTACTATGTCTGGAAGGATATTAACAAAGGTATATTAATGTCTTGCCAAAGGGCATTAGTGCCTCGGTGGGACTCGAAACGCAAACCCGGTGACATATCCACAAGACCACGACACCTCTTAAGAAGCAGAACCTATGGCTAATATGATCTTACCAGGGTTTAGTATAGCTGTGACACGAAGACTGAAGCCAATATCTCCCCTTGAGACATCCGTGGTAAACCTGACCCACATAGAGTGACCGGGTGTAGCGGGGTCACTGGAATAGTTATACCCAGTCAGTTTCTGAAGCTCCCAAGAACCAGGTTCATTGGGACCAGGCCCATAACCAATGAACAAGTAGTCGTAGTCCGTCTCTACGGCCAGGTCTAGAATATGTATCTGGAGGATGTGACCCTCTGGAGCCGTGAGTACCCAAGTAAGGTCGAGGTTCGAGTCGTAGTAGGATGGATAGCCGGGTGAAGATATGACGGTGGTTCCGTTCCATTCACTTTCTATCACAGTGATGCTGGTATCTGTGCAATGAATTCATAATAATAATAATAATAATAATAATAATTATAATAATAATAATAGTAATAGAAATAATAACGATGAAAATAATAAAATAATATTGAAATGGTATAAGAGTAATTAAAAAAAGTAATAATATCTTGAAGCCAAGGAAGCCAAGGCATAAACGATGTTCTTCCTAAGAGCCCTGCAATTATTCTTATCCCAGCAATTGCCAGAATCGTGAAAGATTTTTTGAAGGAAAAGTAGAAGGTACCAGACTAAGATGGAAAACAGTTAAAGTAACTAGAAGGGGAACATTGCGACATGGTGTGCGATGACAATGCGAGAGTATACAAAGATAGCAGAAAACAGAGATGTGTGTAAAAATGTTACAATCAGCCTCCAAGCTGAGAGAAGATATCTTGATAGATATATAGAATTGACAGACACCCGTTTACAGCTGGGCGGAGATTGGCAAATGTGGAGTAATGGGCTGGTGTTTGAACCCTCAATCCAAAAGAGTTAAGTTAAAGAACCTCTTCACAACGATACATACACTGAAGACAAAACAGCCAGGAATTTAAAATTCCATTTCATGAACTCTCTACCCATCCCATCTCTAGGAAATGAAGTGTAATGTACTTCAGAACTTGAACGAGTTTAATTAGATCACTTTAAACCCTACAAAAGTATGAAACCGTTACAAAACCATATGTCTGATATTACCTATGTACAATCATACTTATTTCCATCTGAGGTTAGCAATAATGTACGGCCACCAAACATATATACTAACATTTAAACTTACCAACTTTATTCTCACACAGGTATCCCGTAAAACCTTCGGGGCATTCGCAAGAGATATATCCGAAATCAGTGTTGCAGGATCCTCCATTGCAGAACCCACCACATTCATCGTGATCTGATAGCAATAAGGAAGTCAAATCTATTTTGTATGGATTGAATAAAAGCATATCTAAAGGAAATGAAACGGAGAGAGACATCTCTAAAACGTATTTAAAGAGGGCGGACCTAATTCGCAGATTCAAGAAGCATAAAAAGTCCTCCCAGTTCCATGTTTACCTATACAGATACGAAAAAGGTTCCTGTAGCTCTGTAACTTAAGTGAAACGCCTAATATTCTGTTTGCAATCCCGCTAATTAGGCAAAATTGTCTCATGCATAAAGAACAGGAAACTAAGGAATGACTAGATTCAATCGAATTCCTGCCCCCCCCCCCCCCATGACAAAAAATTGTAATAATGCCGTTTCATATCCTCATCCATGTACAAAATATTCACAAATTAAAAAGTCTACCGCAATAAAGGACGGGGTATAAATAATATTTTCTTCCTCAATAACTTCCAATTGTTTTGTTTAACCTGACTGCTAAGAAAGTATGTGTATGCTTGTAAGTAGGGAACCAGGGAAACGCCGACTTTAAGTCCTCTCCGAGATACTTGCTAATGAGGATTAATACCTTACCGAAGAGCACAAGCGTCGACTTGGTTTCGAACCCGTGACCTCCAGGTGACGAGACAACTGCTCTACCACTGAACCATCACTAAGTACTACTCTTGTTTTAGCCGACAGGTCAAATGTGTAGCCCTTAAGTATATGAGATACACATTGTAATTTGTTCATCATTGTGTCTGTAAAATGTCGCCTGGCCGGAATGATCCCCAAGGGAGTTAAGTTTTGAAAAAATGCAACGTTTGTGTGCAATTTTTATGTTGTAAAATATAATCATGTATTCAAATTTATATGAAATATGCTATTTTTTTCATAAACAATGACCAGATACATAGACATTATTAAGTTCAATGTATACCAAATCCACAATAGCGAAGAACACGTTTTAATGTGTATGATATTAATCATTTCTACGAAGTACGCATTAAAGGTAATACTAAGTTTTGGGAAATTTTGAAAATTGGGTGGATAGTGATTCTTTACAATTTTGATGTATTTGGATGCCCCTGTGGAGGTATTATAAGCACTAAAAAAATTAGCCCCTAAAACACTTCTGCTTTCGAGAAAAATTGAATATAAAAATTTACCGGTGCTCCCGGTAAATTTTGATAAATTTCAAATAGCGCCTACGGCCGTACAATGGTAGCTGCGAACATGAACATTTCTGAATATGTAGTTGTAATATATAACTTCCAAACGGGAATAGCTAATCGGTCGATTTTAGTCAAGAAACATCGTTTGATAGCTTAATTAATATCTTGACCTTGAGAGGGAGCTATACAACAAAAAGAGTTTATTATTTATAATTTCATAACTTTAGACTCGATTTCAACCGCGACAACGATCACTGAATATTGTGGGATCGCATACGCTTCCAATATGTTCATTTGAACCAAAATCATGACCCCATACCAAAACTTTGTATTACCTTTAATAACTTCAAATCAGCAATATTTATACATTTTTTTATTTTAAATTCCTTGTTGCAATTTGTCCTCTATCAAGTTTCAACTACATGACATTTTGTAAGTAAAATATTAATGTGTCCAATTAAGAAACATTTTGACGACGAAATACTTATTCATTCAGCAATTTAGCATATCGTTTTCATTGGTCAGTTGAATTGGAATAATACTAGTTCAAGAATGATCTTACCTGTATTTTGTGCAGATGTATACGGCAGAACAGAGACAGCCAATAACCCAAACACGATGAACATTATCCCCATTTCTCTTCGTGAAACTTCTCCACCTATGAAAATAAAAGAATGTTTGATTATCGTGTAAAAGTTTCTAATGATTCATAGTACAGTGCGTCTCAGAAAAAACGAAACCGAGAATTATCGATGTTTTATCATAACTTTAATAGTCACATTTATAATTAATAAATGACACATACTAGAGGAGCTTAGATCCTCCTCTTTCATTTGATGCAACTCATATGATGCATATTTCACGCATGAGTGATTAAAATCAATTTGAAAAGAGGAAACCAAAAAGTCATTTGTCCAAAATACTTAACTCCGTTTCGTTGACAATAAGCCATGCATGCATTCTTTCGTCTACGGCTGATTGTCAACGAAACGGAGTTATGTCTTTTGATAATTCCGTTTGTTGCTACGGCAGGCAGCCAGTGA